TCTTAACTTCTGTTTACTTTTAACTTTTTCCGAGTAGAATTAAGATGTTGATGTCTAATATCTGTTAACCGATTCTCAGAAATGCGTTGACGGCCTCTTGTGCCACCTTGGCCAGCTCCAGATGAAGTCCAGCTAATTCAGCACAGGTTGCTTAGAGGGTGTGGCGAGAGGGGGGGGGGGGTGGTTTAACTCCACAGCTCTGTCGGCCTGTGTGGTTCGCGCTGCCCTTGATTAGTAGAAGAATTAGCTGCCCTTCATTAAGGAGGAGAACTCCCAGCGTGCACTGTAGCCCAGGTGAGGGGGGGCGGCCCGGAGTCTTTGCTCGTGGGGACCACGCTGACCGCTCTCTCTGCACTCGCTGAGCGGCGCCGCGTGCGCGTGCTGTTGTCGTGTGCAGGGGGAGTTCGTGAACGAGTACGTGGGCGAGGTGATCGACGAAGAGGAGTGTCGAGCTCGGATCAGGCACGCGCAGGAGAACGACATCTTCAACTTCTACATGCTGACGCTGGACAAGGTGAGGGGCCCGGGGTGATGAGGACGTTCCTCCGGCTGACGGCAGTCAGGGCTGGTGGGGGTCAGCCCTGCCCGACTTGCCTTCCTTTTCGGGTCCACAGTGGTTGAGAAAATCCGTCTGACTTCGCGCTGGAAGGTCGTGCCTGCTTGTGTGTTTGTCTGGAAGTGAACTTTGAACAAAAGGAGTACTGGATATCTAGGTGGTAGCTTGCTGTGTCTGAAATGCTTTCCACTGGATCCTCTGGCTTAGTGTAACATTAGGTTCGTGAGCTCGCTCTGAAGTCAATAATGGAGTCAGTTTTTAATAAGGGGGAATACGGCCCCGTCTTTTCCTAAGTACAGACTAAATCGGGGGTGCTGGGAGGTGACACAAGCCTGCTGTTTAACAGAAATTCAGAGAACAGGCCAAGTTTGCCTTTGGTGACATACATGTTACAGTAAAGCTGCAGAACTGGGTCCGGAACCGGTGGTGGGCCCAGTGTGACTATTTCACAGGTCCTGTGTGGGCCCTGATGCACTCCAAGCAGTTCAGCAGGTTCTGGACACCAGGGGGAGCCATTTCTCCTTGCCGCCTCTCTGCCGAATCCTCTGTAGTAAAACACTGACTAGAAGCAGTGAGCAGGATGGGCGGCGCCAGTGTCCTGCCGCATGAGAGAGAGAGAGAGAGAACGGGCCTTTCGGAGCTCTCAGTAAAACTCCCGGGCCCTGAATGGACCAGCAAATGCAGTGGCCCTAGCTAGCGCAGAGAGGAATTTAAACGAAGACCGTCTCACTCTGCCCATTGTCAGGATCGGATCATTGACGCCGGGCCCAAGGGGAACCAAGCCCGGTTCATGAACCACAGCTGCCAGCCCAACTGCGAGACCCAGAAGTGGACGGTGAACGGGGACACGCGGGTGGGGCTCTTTGCCCTGGTGGACATCGCCGCGGGTGAGTTTGGCCG